TGGGCACGTGTACTCATGAGTACCTCTGCTGATCATGCTCTCTGTCGTGATGGAAACACAACTCTCTTTTTGCCAGAATTTACTAATTGGCGATATTACACCTGAATATGATAGGATTAGCCCCTGCTTCGAGCCGGTTGATTCATCAAAAACTTGTTAAACAGTGAGTAAGTTGAGTGTAGCTGTGCTGTACATGAGCTGTGGCTATGTACATCGTAGATGAATCTGTGAGGCCTATTCCTTCACGGAAAAGCTGTTCAAGCAGCAAATCATCAAGGCGGTCTACCGTCTCTTCTTTGATCGAGAAAACGCAGGGGGTCCTGTGCATGAGTCCATTGGATATGAGGAGATAGTCTTGGATTTGTTGCTCTTCAAGTCTGAGTACTGCATGTGTAGCAGTGTGTGCGATCCATGTCTCAGCATCAGGCATTCGTAGGTGTAAAATTAACAGTTCGATGTTGTCTCCTATGACTCCAGAAGGAGGTCTTGCTTCGAGCGATATTGCTCCGATAACTCCATCCACTACATCTAAGTGCTTCATTTCGTCACCATGGCAAATCAGTGTGCGCTGCGTGGCTAAGTCTCTATGTCTAGCGGTAACAGCTCGAAAACATCAAAAGAACTCAACGGATGTATACTGAGTGGTATTAATTGGACTTGTGTTGTGAGGTAGCAACTCTTGAGCACATGATGGCCAGCGAAGGTAATGGGTGGCCCGTAAATCATGCAAATTCCACAAATCTGAGATACGGCAACTCTAAAACCCCAGCCATCTCACTTTTTGTTACAGGAGGACGACCTCCGGCGCACTCAACTCTCTGTCGGGACTGCGAATGGCCGCAGTGGGCGGATCCTGCACGAGAAGACTAAATCTTATGGCGGGAGCCATCATTCTGGCTACTTCCGCTAGGAGCGTGCTTGGTTGGAGTCTTTGCACTGTTGAATTGGTTCCAGCTGCTATGGTGGTCCAGATGCGGAGGTTGGGTGGCAACCCGGTCCGTAATAGTAGGAAAGCAACTTCCACCACTGTATCAGCTGCTTGCCGCATGGTCCTGCGGTCCAAAAAAACGCCCAGGGTCGCAGTGATGTGTATTGTCTGGATAGTCAGCCGAAATGGTCGGGCATCTATTGGCACTGGTGCAAGTCCCGCCTGATCAGTCATGCCTCCATCAGCAGCTGGAACTAAGTATAGGTGGTTGACCCACACACCTCGTGTAGACGGGCGACTAAAACCTGCCACTTGGACTATGTCCTCGTATGATGCTGCTAGTGCTGTCAAGAGATGCTGTGTGATGCGCTGTCCGTCCAATTCAACCTGCTGGAGGTCAGCTTCTAAGGTGTTATATATCAATTGCAGTCCATGTGCTTCTTCTGGAAAAAAGGTGACACATCCACTCTGCACTAGCCGTACTGTGCGCCTGAGGTCTCGCACAGCTACCATAAGTTCTTGCGCTGCTTCCAAGCTATATAAGATCATCTTTACTGGCATAGAGAAATGGTGTTCTTCACCACGGAGTCGCACATAATCCATGGCAGTACGGGTAGAGAGAGTGGGGGCCCACTATATACAGATTGCTACCTTGCAGGTATAGTGAGAGTGACAATTAAGATGGCAGTTAGTCGATGTTGTTGTCAGTCAGTTGCAATCCCGACACGTCTTTGGTCGGAAAGACAACGTGACCGTCATGGTTACTGTTTTGAATGTCAGGCATGTTAAATATTGGGTCATGTCGGTCATGCCTCTATGATGACTGTCTCGCTAGGGTATCTCAGCCAGTGTGATGGGGAAGATTGATTTTATTCCTATCCCATTGTCACTGAAATACGCTCACATCTAATCTTCACACCCTTGACTTAGAGAAGAGCCTAGGACACCAAGCAAGTTAACCATTGTGTACGAGTTAATACTGGAAAACAAGTACAGACAAGTTAAATGCGGGTTGGGGGTCATCCTAAGCCCGTCGTGAACATTCCATAAGCTCACCTTCATAGGACTGTCATCTAACTTGCTAGTAGGTGGGCAGGGGATATTGCTTGTTAGGCATGACAGCTTAGGGGGGATGAAGAACCTGTGAGCAGACATAAAGGCATGTTCACACTGCAGTCAGCGACAGCAAAGTCAAGAGGAGGATGAATGTGCCCCTAATAGGTGAGCATGTGGTTCAGTTCCCTTAAAGGTTATTTGCGTGACATGCGAGAATCACCACAGGAAAGGCTGTCCAGTGAACCACCTTTTTTGATTGCCTGACGATCAACTTCACCGGACTTCTGCTAAGTCACTGGGCCTCACAGGTCATCGAAGATGGTTGCATACGCTTCACTGAGGGCATACCAATTTTGCTGTAGTCGATAAAGTGCTCGGTTGGCTTCTTGTACAAGGTCATTATGTTGCATTTGCAGCACTTGGATGCCTTCACTGAGTTGGAAGATCCGATCCGCTTCATCTTCATGATTAGGAAAACGGCCTGCTATTGCATTTTGGCACTCTTGCGAGAGCCGGAAATCAAAGCACGGTCGATCATCTTCATGGACAGCACTGTTGATTCGTGATTGCTCACTCAGTGCGATTCCTTCTAGGGTTGGCTGCAGTGTTTCAATGCGATTGCCTAGTATATTGTAAGCATGCATAATTTCTGCAATAATAGCACATTGTTGGGCATTCTTTGCAACTATTGCAAAACGTCTGGAGTTGGCCCAGCATGCATATCCGTTGTGTCGCACCTCTGCTGCGAAGGGATAAAAACCTCCATAGCCTGCGATATTCAACCAAGCCTGCAGGTAAACCTCGTCACACTCTCGAGGAATGACCTTATGGAATCCATGGGGCAATGAAGCCCCCATCACTACTGTTGTCTCCTCCGGAAGCCATGACTCATCTTCAGCCCATAGGATGTTCCATTTTTCTCCATTGAGCCATGTGCATACTTCCATCAAGTTAAATACCCTGCACTCTATGTTGACATTGTGACATAGCCTATGGATAGGATACTTGCCGCGATGTAGATTCGTCAACATATTTGGAGTGCTCTGAATGGTTTCAACGTTATAACCTTTCCAATGGTAGTTCCTCAGAAATGTCATGAGCGCGGTCGACATGGCTACGCGAGTGGAGCGCTTGCCAGGTGCAGTCCCGACACGTCTTTAGTCGGAAAAGCACCGTGGCTTGGCACCTAAGGATAACCTATACTATTTATGGTGGTGTCAGGCAACATTGTTAGCATCATTGAAAGTAGCACATCATTAGGTCAGCTGTGTTGTCTGAACTCTGTTTGAGCCGATAGACTACGTGTGCTGGGATAGTGCTGTGAACTTCGTCACCCTGTATTGGAAATCTAGTGGCTGTCGGCATGGAAAAGCTTTGATATAACCTATCAGTAAAGCTGAAAGCACACGTGATCTTATTTTCTCAATGGCTGAATCAAAACTGCGCTACGTGCGGCGTAACCACATTGGGACTAGCCAGCCTCTCATAGCTCAGCAAGTTGGGAACAGGGAGCTTGTAGGCACATTGTCATCTTGCTTCTTTTATAGTGCTAGCACTTCCCAGTCTTTGGTATACCCAGTGCTAGGGTGAGCGCGGGAAGCAGTTCTCTCTCACATCATGTAGTTCTTCGCCTACACTTGAACTGATCTCAATGCCATCGGGATAAACCACTGGGACTAACAGCTCGGTTTGAGCGTATTCCATTTCACGTACGATGTGAGCTTTGTAGTCAGCTATCATGTGAAGTAAAGTGACTTGCGCTTGAATGTTCTCATCAAGCTTTTCTGGCATTGGTATGTCGACCCAGAATACTTCCCTGGCCTGTTGCTTCGCCTTGAGCAAATGGTAGTGGGCGGACTGTAAATTGTCCAGTAAGGTACAGCAAGCCGTGTACTTATTAATGACACGTTTGATGTGTAGAAGTCGTTCGTCACAGCTTGATGCATCCGATGTTGCGCACGCCATGGCAGGCAACCCGATAACTGAAATTGTGTAATCTCTTTCGAATCCACCAGACTCGCGCAATTCATGTGGGGGAGAATGTAATATGGTTGAATTCCGAGAAAAAAGAGACCATTAAATGTTTATGTGAGGGACCCCTGTCACGTCTTTGGACAGAAGTACCCTGAGCTATCTTAGAAATGGAAAGCGACACATACTTCTCATTGGTCCATTGAATGGTTAGGGAGGAAACTACAACACACGGACGATTATGGAAGAGAGTTACCATAATTCATGAGGTAAATGAAAAATTCACTAGCTTGGTCATTTACCTCATAATGCCGCTACTGAGGAGCCAAAAAGTGAAGTATGCATAGAGTCCTCGACAATCGGTACTGCCAATCAAGTACGTAGTTGGAGTGTGGCTCATGGACCAAGAGAGAGTAGACTTGAATACTAAACAGAAGAGGCACAAGCAACCAATAACCAGATAGAGAGAAGCGAAAGGAGGGAAAGTAAGTAGAGTGCCATTAGAATCTCGCTACCTAGTATCGAAATCAAAGAGAGAGAGAGGAGTAGTACACAATTGGCAAGACAACTAATCAGTTGACCAGTCATTTTGCCCTCTGCGCTAATGATTGTTTTATGGCACAATCACAATGTGCAGCGATAGGTCCGCTCATTCATCCAGTTTTCGCTTCACAGAACTCTGACTCTGTTGCCTGCCGTGCTTCTCTTGCTGACGACTTGCCTCCCATCTCTGTTTATTTGTGCAAGGCACTAATTCCTTTTGGGGTTAAAACAGCGGAATGCCATGGAGCGCCAAACCTTAAAAAAAAATTGAATGAGAATCTGAATGTGGAACACAAACCTTGTGCAACCTTAATGTGACATGTTGGGTTCCTTAACCTGAAGGGGAATATAACATGATACACCTTGAATGAAATATCTGGTTTGATGAAAACCTTAATCTTGTCAATGTGTGGCCGTTTTGGTATTAAGGAATGGGAAGGGCAGCGGTGCACATGGGTACTTAGTACAGCTTGTGGCCGCTGGTGGTTTACTCCACCTTTTCATGGTTGTGCCCTCTCCCATTTGCAGGGGACGCGCGGCCCTGGGTCCCCGCGTGGCGCCCGCGGTGCATGGATTCACTGCTTGCAAGTCAATTGGGCTTTACATTTTCTTCTTTTTGATTGGTTGGTTATCGTGCTTCATCTGGCTACTGTTTGGAAGTGGGGTGTTGATTGACAGATGAATTCTTCTTTTGACAGTGCGTTTGAGACACATGTTGACTACTGTCGGATGAGAGTGTGGTCATCTATTTACAGGCCCATTTGGGAGACAAATCCAGCTCTGTCACAGGTTCGAGTTATCCGTGGTACAACACCTCCTTCAGGTTTGATTCTGGTTGATACTCCAATCTCAGAGGAACACGTGGATGATGCACAGCCAGTTTCAGGTTTGGTGAGATTCAGACAAAAACGCAATGCCACTGACTTAACTTGGGCTCAGCAGTTGAACACTCAGAGGGTTGCAGCAATTACCAAATGGGTCAAGATTATTTTGACTTTCCCTGCCGCTTTCGATTTGGGCCGCAAGTGGGACAAGGACGCGCCTTTGGGGACATCGATCGCTGCTGGTCTGAAACATGTCTTTTCTGGAAAGGCGACTGGAACCCTCCATAACCGTGCAGGGCCAATTTTGAGGTTTATTCAGTGGTGCCATGCTCATGGAGTGATCCCATTTCCTGTCAGGGAACATCACGTGTACGAGTTCATGAAGGCTATTGGTTTTGAGGCAGCTCCAACCTTCTTGAGGTCCTTCTTGGTGTCCATGACATTTTGCAATTTTATTTTGGGGTTGACTGGATCAGACGAAGTCACAAGCAGCCAGAGGGTACAGGGTTGTGCCCGTGAGAGTTACCTCACAAAAAGGAAGTTGTGCCAAAGACCTCCGCTGACAGTTGATCAAGTGAAGGCCCTTGAAATCTACGTTGCAGATATGCTGGGACCACCACGTGATGTCTACGCGGCCGGGTGTTTTCTGCTTTGCGTCTTTATGAGAGCCAGGTTCAGTGATATGCTACACATGACTGACATTGTTGCTGATGAGATCAGCGTGGATGGCATGGTTGCTGGTTACATTGAATCCAAGGTCACCCGCAGTAAGAGTGCCTATACAACTGAGCGGAAGACCATGCTGCTCCCAATGGCAGCGCCATTGATAGGTACTAGTGGACGAAATTGGTTCAGGTCCTGGCAGAAGGCAAGGTTGCTGTGCTCGGTTCCGAAAGGGACGGAAATGCCGCTCTTACCACAACCTGCAGCCAACGGATGGTTGAAAACTCCGATGTCAGCTGCAGCAGGTGGCGATTGGCTTCGAAAAATCCTGATGGCCTTGCGGTTTTCCCAGACTGAACCAGAACATTGGAACACACAGTTGCAAGGCCACGTGCTTGAGTTGGATGGCAAAGGCTGGAGTGGACCTGTCTTGCCGTCGGCTCCTTGGGTACCATGTTGACCCAACAACAAAGACTTGCCTTGTTTACAGCAGAGATGCAGTTTCAGGCCCTCTCAGAGAACTGGATCGGGTGCTCAAGATGATCAGGGCGCTCGAGTTTAGCCCAGATAGCACGAGATCTGGGTATTTCCTCAATGTTGCAACGGGTTCAGCGCCAGTGGATCAGGAGTCCCAACATGATACTGAAGATGGCGATGATGCGTCAGATTCCGAAGACTCCGAGGATGAGGAGCCTAGTGAAGAACAACATGCAGCCGCTGAAAAGGCCATTGATGAGGTCGTTGGTGAATGGAGCGAACATTCAACCTTGGAAGGCCTTGGACTTGGCGATGATGCAGCTTTGTTTCAAAACAGGAACACCAGGTACTACCATATTTGTGCCGATGAGAGTGAGATGCATTTCAGGTGTGGAAGAGACATTTCTGCCAGCTACATCAAGGTAGAACGAAGACCGCGTTTCTTCTCTCCGCAGTGCCGCACCTGTTTCAAACCTCAGTGATTGCCAAAAATAATTTGCGAAGCATGATGAGAGACCTTGTCCAAGTGAAACAAATGGTATTCACTTATTTTTTGTTTCGAAGATGTCCTTGTTTGTGAAACAGACGCATACGAAACATCTTGAAACTCACATCGTTAGGTGCAAATCCATTTGGGCTTTGCAGTGACATGTTTGATGACTAGATTAGTCACTTTGTGAGTGCACTGATCCACTTGGGATCATGGGTCATGAGACCATGCTGCGGTGCTGTGCCGCTTGTTGCTCCAGGCGACCAATTGGGTTGCAAACATGTTTTTGGTCTGCATCATGCAATGTAATTTGACAAAGTTGAATCTGCATAACGTTTCTTACCTAGCGTGTGAAGTTGTGTAGCAACCCCTGGAAAACATACTTGTGGAATCCAAATTCAACAACTTGAGTTTCTTTTTTGTAGCCTCAGATCCAACTCGTGCGATGGCTCTGACAGATAGCGAGCCGAACTTCAGGTCAAGATGCCTTGCACTCGGTATGGCTGAAGATCTGGTGAACAGTCTGACAACAAGTGGAATCAATACGATTGCTAAGTTTGCCTTTTCATCTAGCTATGTGCCGGGTATGTCAGATGAGACTCCTTTCACTTCAGCCATTGAATCTTCAATTGGGAGGACTCCAACAGTAGGTGAGTTAGCGGCTCTTCGACGCCTTTTTCATGAGTGTTATGCCCTCACAGCATCTGAGTTGAAGTCATCAGCAGAGCGTGTCGAAGATGCTCCAGTGCGTAAGTTGGCACAACCTGAGAGAGCTGATAGGTTGGAAAAACAGCAGAAGAAATTGTCAGGCCTCAGCATTGCAGGGAAGCTTGAACCCTCGGATAGGCTCGTTGATAGGTGCCAAAACATGTATGATGAAAACCGACTGCACTACATAGAGTTGACCAAGTGCACCAGCAAGGAACAGGAGATTCTGAATGCAACTCAACGCGAAGACAGGCACGTAACAATCGATGGTGCAGGTGTTGTCAAGGTCAAGGACAAGGAGGCCAAAATCGAAGCAGATTTTTCGAATGACATGTTGCTCAGGTTATGCATGATGCGTAGAGGACTTGCCTTGGACCAATGCAACATTTTGGAATACAAACTCCACGACTCATGGATAGAGAAAATACTTGATTGTCGCCTCGAGCAACCTCCAGAAGGCTATCATCGTATCTCCCTGCAACAGGTCATCCAGGCAGACCGTAAGCTGTTCTTGAAATTGGCTGAACTGACCAGAGGAGGAATCCAACTCACTGTTTTGGGACGACCAGTGGACAACTCTTTTGAGAAGGCCATGAATCATCCTGATGTTTTGCACCTGTTACAGCCCATGCCAGCATCGAAAGGACAACCCAGCCAGCCATCTACATCGAGCTCAACGACAGCTGCACCGCAGAGGCCTGGTCCATATAATAGACCCACCAAAGGCAAAGGCAAGTCAGGGAAGATGCAAGGGTCGATAACCATCAAGATGCCGCAGGGCTTGGAAGGTGGTGTGCCAGGGACAAGAAGCGGCAATGCAATTTGTTTTGACCATAATCTGAACAAGTGCCACTTACCAGTTGAGCGTGGAAGGTGCCGCAAGGGATTACACATTTGTTGCTACAAAGGATGTTTCAAGCAGGATCATACATACCAGTCGTGTCCCGCGAGAAAGGCGAAACCCTGACTTTCGGAACAACAGGTGGACAACGACAGTGTATTGAATTCAGAAGGACCTGGACTTCCTCCCCAAGGAGATCAACCACCAGGACCACAGTTGCACGAGAACAAATGTCAGGCCAAGCCTTTAATTATTGAGTTGTGTGCGGGTACAGCCATGCTTAGTAGATGCTTCCACGAAGTGGGATTTGACATCTTGGCGGTGGATCACTCGCACAACCTTGATTTGACTGAAGACTCATCATGGGAGTTTCTTGAGTATGTTGTAAGACATTATCCAGTTTGCTTTGTCCACGTTGCCCCACCATGTGGCACGTGCAGCAGGGCCAGGGAAATAAACCTTGGGCCGTCAACATCACAGCCGCGGCCTTTGCGGTCGGAACAATACCCACATGGCATTCCTGGCCTAACTGAAGAGGAAAACAAAAGGGTAGATGCAGCCAACCGCATTTATTCCCGCATGTCGAAGTTTTTAATCCTTTGCAGCCAGCACCAAATCCATTGGTCCATTGAGAATCCTGCCCGTAGTCTCTTGTGGTTGACTGACTGGTTACAGCCGCTGATTGCATTAGGAGCATTTTATAACTTCACAGCCTGCGCATGGGGGTCGACCAGACCAACAAAGAAATCATTTCTGAGCAGCTTGCCGGACATGTGCCGTTTGCAAGCGTCCTGCCCAGGGAACCATGAACATGAACCCTATGGCCGCAAAAGGGATGCCCATGGTAAACTGATTTATGCTACAGCCGAGGAGGCAGCCTATCCTAGAGAGTTGTGCATTCAGATTCGTAGGATTGTGCAAGAGGCCCTCAACCTGTTTCCGGAGCATTTGCAAGCCGACCCCACCAATGTTCGGGTGAATGCAGCCGGATCCATAGCACTTGCACAACAGCCCCGTGGAAAGCGAATGCCACCACTAGTATCCGAGTTTGTAGCGTTTCAAACCTTGGAGACCCATAAGCGACCCCCATTAGACCATAAGATGTGCCTGAGCCAGCCCTGGCACAATATCCCAGCCCATGCTAAGTTGCTGTCTAGTGAATGTATAAGTGGGGATAATAAGGACGACAGCATCCCAACATATAAAATGCGTTTTGGCATTTATAGAAGCCCCAAGCAATGGCTAGATGATGCAATGCAACTCCAGCATCCATTTGACCTGTACCATGCAGTTCCGGACGAGATGCTAAGGGTCATTTTCGAAGTCCTGACATTGGGGCCTGCAGAAATTGCCAGACGTAGGACAGCCACTCTAAACAAGTGGATAGGATGGGCCAAAGAACTAGAAGAAGATGAACAAGCACTGAAGCTCAGCATGGAAAAAGGGGTGGAAGCCATCTTACGACCCAAAAGAATTTGCCTTTTGAAAAAGATAGCTTTTGAAATGGGGTGGCCGGATACCTCCCTCTTTGAAGAGATGGTTGAAGGTTTCAACATCGTTGGATTGCAAGAACCCTCTGGGGTATTTAACCTCGAGCCAAGACCTTTTTCCTTTTCACCGGAGTCTCTTGACGATGCAGCCAAGTTCTTGAGACCAGCTCTGCTGGGAAAAACCAGGGCATCCAATGTGGATGAGGATGCAAAGCGGTTGTGGGAACTGACGTGTGAAGAAGCCACTAACTTGCACTGGTTAGTTGGTCCCATTCCAGCCAATGATGTTTCGCAACGCTTTGACAAGCCATGGATCCCCGTTCGACGATTCGGCGTGTGGCAGAGTTCAGGTGATAAATTAAAGCTTAGGCCTATTGACGATTACGCGGAAAATCGAGTTAATGGGGCTTTCGGTTACTCCGATAAGTTGGATTTGCGCACTCTTGATCAGGTGGTTTGGACAGGGGCAGCTATGTCCCGCGCCTTGTCCAGTGGGCATGTTTGTTTCAAGCTGAAATCAGGTGAGCTACTTGAAGGGCCGCTGCACAGTGCATACACTGACAAACGGTCAGGGCAGCCTTTGATCAGCGTGTTAGACCTGTCCAATGCATACAAACAATTTGCCATCAAGCCAGACTGCCGTAGATACTCAGTAGTGACCTTAAAGAATCCAGACGATGGGTCTGTGCAGTGCTTTGAGGGTAGAGTTCTACCCTTTGGGGCGACCGCCTCGGTAGTGCATTTTAACCGGTGCTCCAGACTTTTGCAACATGTGGGGTACTTGCTCCATATCCCATGGAGCAGTTACTTTGATGATTTTCCAGTTGTTTCCCCAGCTGTCTTGTCAGAGTCGACTATGAAGACTATGACACTGCTGCTGGACCTTCTTGGGTTTGAGTTCGCTAGCCACAAGTTGCAACAGTTTTCAAACCAGGCGACTGTGCTTGGGTTTGAGGTTGACTTCG